ACAAGTATAAGCAAACAATCCTAAGAACCACAGACAATAGGCTCACAGCAGGGGGTACCTCTCCTGCAGCTGCCTGCACTTTCCGGCTCTGAACTTCAGCTCCCCTCTGGATTCAGGCCAGCCAGTCTCCTGAGGGCCAGAATCGGGCTCAGAACCAGCAGCACTCAGCTTGATGGACTGGTTGTCAGGTTAACGGAGGAGAGCTCTAGGACATAGAGTCGTGGTACACTCTAAAATTCCCAGTTCTGAGCTGGTCCTTAAATAGTTTGCTAAATCGTGCTAATCACACATTGCAACACTTCACACATTTTCACTGTTATCTACAATGGCTGGGCTGTGTAGTGGGCCTATGCTCCCTTTCCTTTAATCTTTCTTCAGCCAGGCCTTTGCCTGCCTGGTTACAAGGCTCCTTATACCAGACCACGACAGAATCAGGTCAGCAGGCTTGGCAACAAGCATCTTTACCCACTGAACCATCTTTAAGGCCCTGTCTAAAAACCTGGGTAGTCTGTAGCCCAGGCTAGCCTCAAATTAGATATATAGCCAAGGGTGACTTTGAACTTCTGATGCTGCTGCCTCTGTCCAGTGCTGAGAATATAGGTGTGTGCTATCTTATCCCACCTTATGAAGTGCTATGATTCAACCCAGAGTCTTGTGTTGAAAGACCCCCGGAGGCTCAGGCCCCTAGGATCTCAGCCCAGGACCTCGGCCACCCCAATCACCATGTGGAGGTGAAAGCTTGATGAAAACAGCAAGAGGCTTTATTGCAGTTGTTTAACGAGCTAACCCCATGTTAGCGTGGGCCTTTCATCCATCCACCATGGTGGATGGCTAGGAAAGTCAGCGTGAAGCCATGACATAGAGATCTTATAGGGCAGTGTAAGGGGAGTGTCTAGGGGTATGCACAGGCTCAGGATTGGTGTGCCTCCAGACTTGCCCTGTGTTGATTGGTCAACTGGTTGTTATGGCACATAGGCCCTCCCAGGGTGATTGCTATGCTCTGCAGGTCATTGCTATGCACTTGTCCGTAAAGCACAAGCAGAGCTGTAGAGCATAGCACCACCAGCTAACTTCTGATTGGTTCCTTGCTACGAGGCAGGCATCTGACCTCCAAGTGACCAAGGCAAGGTCAGGCAAGCACGTGCTAGGCTGTTATGGCTGCCGAAATGGGGAGCTGGTCCCTTCAGAGTGTGCAAGCCCCCTGCCAACTGAGCTAAATCCTCAGTCCCTGTTACATGTGTTTGCATGGCTGTATGTATGTCTCTTCACCATTTGCATGCCTGGTGCCCGAGGAGACCAGAAAGAAGGTGTTGGATCACAAAGAAGTGTAATTACTGATGGTTCTAAGCTGACATGTGGGTGCTGAACTGAACCCAGGTCTTTTGGAAGAGCAGCCAGTGGCCCCCTCCCTCCAATTTTAATATCCTGCTGGGTCATCAGGATGTAGAAAGAAAGGTGTCTGTCTGTCTGTCTCTGTCTGTCTCTGTCTCTGTCTCTCTCTCTCTCTCTCTCTCTCTCTCTCTCTCTGTGTGTGTGTGTGTGTGTGTGTGTGTTCCAAGAATGGACTTTTGCCCCCAGGTAGGGGACTGTCCTACTTGCTACCTCCCTCTCCACTCACCTCCTTGGAAAAGCCTGGGTTCAGGGATATTGTAGAGAGTGTCATCTTGAATCTCACTCATTACTGTCACTTTGTCCTTTATGTCCTGAGTGAGCATGTTGGTCTAGGAAGGATACCAGGCAGCCAGAGGTAGACAATGAGGGTCTTGACGGGCAGGTGGCAGGGCATGAGGGTACTACAGCTTTTATACAAAGTGTATTGGTGAGAACTGACCAATTCCACACATCCTCTTGGGTTGGTGTTAAACTCTGGGCAGCTGTCCCATCCTGTCCCCAAGGCAGCATTTTTAAACAGAGGACCCGGTAACCGGAGGCAGCTTCCTACTGAGCTCAGGACAGAAGTGAATTCATTTCTGCTGTGGATATCTTGGGACACAGGGCACTTTTCCTCCAATGTTAATTGTCCTAAGTAGATGGAGCCTGGGTGAGAAAGGCTGCTTTGTGGGTGGAGAGCAGTGACCTGACAGAGTCTGGTGACATGCCAGGCTAAGACTTTTCACTCCAACCCTGGGGTTCCGGGGGAAAGTTAAGTCAGACCTAGAGTCTAATGCCACATTTTCCTCAGCCTTGTGGTGTTGGGGGTCACTTGGGAGTGGGTTGTAGGGACCCAAGCCAAAGAGCTGGCTCTGTCTCAGTCACTGTGGGCCTTTGGCTGAATTTCTCAACGTCTGTACCTGCTTTCCCAACCTGCAGATGTGATTGCAGTGTTAGATTAGCTAAGTAAGCACACACAGGGCTCTCCATTAGCTGTTCTCTCGTTTGAGTTACAGATAGTGGGTGAATGATAGGGTTACACCTTGTGGCTTTCTCTGTGCCAGTCAAGTTGTGTGACTGGTTTTGGCCACTGAGATAGGAATGAAATGGTGTGTCTTCCAGGCCAGGCTCTTAGTCACCACTGCCATGGTTTTTCCCTTTGACCCAGTGACTGGTGGCTTGGTGACATCTCTCTTTGGGTCTCTGGGAGTGACCCCAAAGTGAGTTCAGTAAGATGAAGCTAAGCACAGCCATGTGGTTCCACCAAGACATGCTGTCTGAAGGGTGTTTGCTGCAGTGTAACCTCACCCATCCTGACTAAAACAGGTGTGCTTGGGTCTCAGGATTCAAACTTCTGTCATGCCCAGCAAGAGAGGGCAGTGGGGGTGGGGCTGGGGAGAAAGACAATGGTACCTTGTCCTAGGGAGGATTTACCTATATGTGTGTATGCCAGAAGCTGAAGGTGATTTATTTTGTGGGGAGGGAGGGGACCAGCAGGAGGGACAGTGGGAGGAACAGATATGAGCAAAGTACAATGAAGTATGGAAAATGTAGCAATGAAACCTATCATTTCTTTAAATTTTTCTTACAAATTCTGTAAGCACAACATGGCTTTGGCCACTTGGCAGTTGTAAGTTGGCCCCTTTCTGACCAGACTTCCCTGCAGATCCTTTGCAGGGTTGCTTTATTCTCAGTGGATTTCACAGGCCTGTCCCATCCTTCTTGCTCTGTGCCAACCCTGAGAAGGCAGAGCTGTTGCCCTTGGCAGGGCTCAGCAAGGTCCACGGCCTGAACTGTCCCCAGGCATCCCCCCTGGAGTGGAGAAAGCACTTGATGGCATCCATCAGTGTGGGAGACTGTGCCGTTGCTCTCCAGTTGTAGTCATCCTGGAACTATCAATTATGGAGGCTAATGTGGCCATCCTTCTTCAAGTGTGCTTACCATTGGCATTGCCAGGTGCTAAGTGAAAAGGTTTGGGGTGGGGCAGGGTGTGGCTTCCCATTCCTGTTGTCTCAGCACCTGCAGGTTAACCCATGATGAGTGCATTGCTCTGCTGGGAGGCAGGAGTGGCTCTGGTTCCTGAACTGTGGAGGGCGACATTGGATTCACAAGGAGCCTTACCATGCTCCCAGGTATTCAGTTGTCAGGTGTCAGGTGCCTGAATCCTAGCCCTGGGGGCCTCTTGAATCCGGTCAGGCAAGGACAGAGCAGTGTGGCCATTCATCTTCTCCCTGTGTTTCATCCACAGACTGTAGGGTTCTTCCCAACGGGGCCAGAAGCTGACAGTACCAGTACCTCCGGGTAGCAGCAGTTCAGGCTGTCCTGAACTGTAGCAGAAGAGTGAAGATCTCCAGAGACACCTGTGCCCGGGTGTCTTAAGCTGCCAGTGACTTGTGTGCAGAGAAGCTTCCAGAGGCGTGGGCTGTCACCAGGAATTCTGGGCTGGGGGATGACATTCATGCAAAGCCTTGAGGTCACCTTTGCCAGCCAGAGCTGGCAGGAGAACAACAGGGGTCCATAGGCACCAGCAACACAGCCTTTGACTGCAAGGCTGCCTGTGGGAGGTGAGAATGTTGCTCTATAGTGTCCTGGACACCAGAGCAGCGTACAAGGCCACTCCTCACTATACCCTCCCCAAACAGCACCACCCACCGAGGAGCAAGAGCTGGGTCATGGTCCATTCAGACAACCAGTTAGTACAGTGCTGGCCTCGAGAGCACAGGGGTCCAGGATTGATTCCTAGCCCTGTACAGACAGCTGGTTCAGTGTTCACGCCTGTAACCCCAGCACTCGGGAGGTAAAAGCAGGGAGTCAGGAGATGAAAGCCATCGTCAGCTACACATGGGTTTAGGGCCAGCTGGTCTACATGAGACCCTGTGTGAAAAAGCAATTGCTTTAAAGGTGGAGGCAGGAGGATGAAGTGAAGTCAAGGCCAGGCAGGGCTGCAGGATGAATTCCAGGTCAGCATGGACTACAGTGTGAAAGCTTGTCTCAAAAAATCTGAAAACAAAACCCACAAAAAGGCAGCTAGGTCTTTAATGAATGAGGCTGTCAAGAGCTTGAGTCATTCGTGACCATCCCTGGTGGGACATAGGGCACTGAGACTCCGAGTCAGTCTACAAAGCCCTGCACCTAGCCTCCACCTTCCATTTGTCGACATGTGGGCGTCCCCAAGATGAGCAGGGTCAGCCCTCCCTCACTTCCTTTCCAGCCTCTGCAGCCATCACAGTCACAGCACTGCTCCTGGAGCCACGGGTGGTTTTGAAGGTCCCAGACCTTGTGGCAAGGCACACCCTGCAACCAGGAGAGAGGCCTGCATCATTGGGTTCTTCCTGGGCTTCTTCAGGGGAAAGGCTCCGAGACACCTTGAACTCAAGCTCCAGGTAGGTGGGTTGACACCAGGCTCATTGGCAGTACTGTTACTAGGTGGTGCTTGCTGGTATAGCACACTCCCCCTGCTGGGGGGTGACTGGGGAGAAAAAAGACTGCTTAGCAGGCCTGAGGGCTCAGTTCCTTCTTCAGCACCAGAGCATAAATAAAAAACCCAGCTGTGCCCCTGAGGAGTACACAGGGCTCCCCAGCTTGTTAGAGAGGGCCAGGGTGCCATGTAGGGAAGCCTGTTCCTTGTCCCACTGGAGCGAATGGGACTGCCTGTGGGGCTGGGTGTCTTTACCTAGTGGCCTTAGACTAGTGCAGTGTCTCTTCCTGTACAGGTCTCCACCAGACACATCAGCCCATCCTTCCTCCATCTAGATTAGGAAGAGACAAGTGTCCTCAGTCCTGAAGGAATCCATGCCAGGGACCTGTTAGCAGGTCTGGGAGAGAATAGGGCTGCCAGTTTCCCAGCAGAGCTGCCACACCGCCCCCCCTCCCCCCCCCACACTGTTGCTTTCAGCACGAGTGCCCTGTTACTGGGATTTCCCAGCAGTCAACACACTATTGCCCGAGCTCTGTTAGAGCATTCACAGCCCACTGGCTCTCCTCAAGGGTGGATACCTGGAGGCTGAGGCAGGTGACAAGGCCATCCCTGAGTTCACCCATGAACCCTGCATTTGATGCTTGCTGGGAGCCTGTGCTAGCCTGTGCAGAGTATGATGGGGTTTTACAAACTAGAGGCCCATTTCCAAGATCTGGAGACTGAGGCTCCACAGGGTGCTAGGGTGAACTAGATCTATGAGCCTCTCCCCAAAGGCCCAGAAGAGAAGCAGGGAGTGAGTTGTTGCCTTCATCTCTGGATTCATTATCAGTCTTTACTTATCTGGCTCCCAGGTGCTCACTTAAAGCAGAACTGAGTAGCACAGTTTGTTTAAGGCAGCTAGGAGAGGAGGTGGCATCCCCTTGTCATTGTCATCCTACAAGCCTGCTTGTAGGATGGTTCCCCTTACCAATGCAGACCACCCTGCCAGGTTTTTTGGTACCCTTCCCACCACAGTGTGTGGATGAGACTATCTAGTATTTGAACATTGAGTCCAGAAAGCCCCTGACAAGCTGTGTGTCCCCAGAAAAGGCAATTTAGCTTTCTGAACCTTTGTGAGTACAGCCTGGAAGTTACCAGTGGCTTTGATGAGAATTGAGTAAGTCAAGACATACCTGGGGATGGGTATGGTAGCCCAGGCCTGTAATTCCAGAACTTAGGAATCAGACAATAGACAGGTCTAGATCATCCTGGACTACAGTTGCTATCTGCCTCAAAGATGATGAAACTCACAGCTGAATCATACATAGGACATGCAAAGTCCCCCGACAGTGCCTGGTGCTTGGAAAGTGTGTTACAGTTGTGAACCATTCTTGTTACCTCTGATGCTTTGGCCAAATACAGGGACCCTGCCACAGCCCTTGCCTGGCTCAGCCTCCTGGTGTGTGCCCACCACCTGGAGTCCTGATTTCTGGCTCTGTGTGTCACAGTTTAAGTAGTGTGACCACAGATATCCTTGCCCAAGGCCACTCTTCACTTTTCAGCAATGCTTTGACATCCTTAAGTCCCTTTGGGGTCAAAGTGCACTGTAGTGTAACTGAAGATACAGGCTGGGGGGGGGGTGAGAGGGCAAGGTCTTTGCAAATGAGGCTAGCCCAAGACTTCCTACTCGTCCATGGTTAGGCACAGGCCTTCTGCCTGTCAAAGGGGCGGCTCCCCTCTTTTTACTGTGGTTGACAGCATCACTAAGGAAATATGGATCCCTGTCTGGGGCGATGGCTTTGTGAGTAAAATGGGGACATTAGTACAGATCTCCAGCAGGCATGTCAAAATAAGGCACGGTGGCATCTGTCTACATCTCCAGCCCTGTAAACTAGACATATCGATGCTGGGAGCTGGCTGATCGGACAGCCTAGACAAATAGTTGAGTTCCAGTGTCACTGAGAGACCCTGTCTCAAAAGAACTCAGGTAGAGAGTAAATGAAGAAAATACTTATTGTTACCACTGGCCTCCACTCACTCATACACTTGAACACACACACTCTCTCAAGTGGACCTGGGTGTGATACATAAGCCTGTAATCCTAGCACTTAGGAGGCAGGGATAAGAGGGTCAGGAATTTAGTGCCAGCCTTGGCTACGTAGTAAGTTCAGGTCCAGCCTGGACTACATGGTTTAAAAAAATCAAACAATAGTGAAGTGGATTTGGAGAAGATCTTGACAAACAGCCAAGTCAGGATGACCTCAGGGAGCAGGCTTCAGATCTTAATTCCTGGTCAGCAAGCTTTCCTCAGGCCTGCTAACCCCCCACAGCCACCTATCCACACCAGCATACAGTTTCAACAAAGAAATTTGGGGGTGCATCCTGCAGGCTGTCAGCCAGATTTCACATGCTAGGGCATTATGTATTATTTCTCTCTCTCACTGACTTTTCAGGGGCCACTTCACTGTCACTACGGTAATGTGAGGAGGAAATGCCCAGACCTGAGGTTCCAGCCATCTGCTACCTGGGCAGGAGTTGTCCCTGCTCTGGCCTGAGCCTGGGTGTGGCGGCTGGAGGTAGGCACAGAGTGTCTGCATCCAAGCTGGGTCAGTGGAGTTTTGTTAGATGCTCAGTTACTGGCTCACTGAAGAGAGTTGGGTGGGGCCAGGCATCCACCCACACTTGTGCAGCTGAGAAGTTCCCGATCCGTTTCTCCAGGGAGCTCTACACTCCCTAGGCTGGAATCTGGTCTCTGGGACACACAACTCCAAGGCAGACCGTGGGCTCTGTGCCGTTAGTTGTCATCTCTACTGGAGCCCAGTTCCTGCAGATAATTGCTTCTAGCCATACCCAAGCCCCCTTTTAGGTGACTGGTGCCTCAGCCTCTGTCCAGGGAGCTAACTGGCTTCCTGTCAGGAGTACATTGCACCCTGTGTGTGGTTCTGTGGGTGCATGTAGGCAAAGGAGAATTGCATCCAGGCAATAACATGGAGGACGTGAGAAGACTGAACCAACAGCTTGTGTCAAGAGGTTTGTCCTAATTCTCAAAGTGCATCTCCTAACCACATAATTCAGATCTCCACACCCCTAACTAGGGCTGGGTAGCCTTGGGTGAGAACCAAGGGGACCAGGACATGCCCTCCCTCTCTGGCTCCCTACTTCTAGAGAGTGGGGAGGACTTACTGTTTCACTTTCTTTGTTTACAGTGCTGGGGATCAAACCCCAGGCCTCACATGAGTTGGTGTTTGGTGCTTTACCCTAAGTTACACCTCGAGCTCTAAGAGAGACCAAGGAGAGATAAGAGAGACACAAAGCCCAGAGCTGGAGAGTGAGCCACACCACTGTGCTGATGGTGGGGCCAGAAGGGCCGAATAGCTGCTCATTCTGCCCCCCCCATCCCCATCCTGGGTCTGGCTACCTTGTCTTACCCCCAGGCATTTATAGGCAAGCAGGGCTCAAGGCAAGACCTGGAAGGCCTGGTGCCCCAGCATGGGAGTAGTGGGGGGCTCCCTGGGCAGTGGCTAGCTGTGTCTAGAAACCAGCTGTCCTTGTGAACCAACAACCTTCTAGGGGAGGGCCCTCTTCAATTTGTGTATCTTTTAATGGATGATGCTGATTTTGTAAGAAATTAAGCTGCATGGTTTAGGAGAAACTGCGGCCAGCCTACTCAAGCCACAGTCGCTCTGCCCAGGTGCCCAGGCCCCCAGGCCAGCCTGCATGAGCATGTGCAGTGGGCACTTTTCTTCCTGAGCCAAGCCTGTCTCTATGCTCAGAGACTGCTGATGGAAGACACCTGACTCAGAGACACCAATGAGGAAGCAGAGTCAGCCGCCTGAGCCAATGGGACCTTGGGAGGAGGTATAAAGGCAGGTCTAACTTCTGGCAGCATGCTCTGCTACTCACTGACTCCCAGTGCTACATCTTCTTACCCCCTTCCCCAAGGGATGTTCAAGCAGGGTCACCTGCAATATCTGGTGCCTAGATGTGGGGCTTGTGGATCCCGTACTGGTATGGGTCTCTGCCTCACTTGAATCAGGGTGTCGCCGAGGCTGTTTTTATGTGCTCTGAATCTTTGCCTTTTGTTGCTGGCGGTACACTTTCACTTTTTCTATCTGCACCCTTTCAGATTTATGGTCAGGCTCGTGGTGTGTTTCGGCATTCCCTCTGTTAGACCCCCCGGAAAGCTCAGGCTTCCAGGGTCTTAGCCCAGGACCACAGTCACCCCAATCATCAAGCGGATTCGAAAGCTTGATGCAAACAGCATGAGGCTTTATTGTTGACGAGCTAACCCCATGTTAGCTTGGGTCTTTCATCCATCCACCATGGTGGATGGCTACAAAAAACAGCTTGAACTGGCTGCATAGAGATCTTGTAGGGCAGAATAAGGACACAGGTTCAGGATTGGTGTGCCTCCAGGCTTGGAGGGTTTGCCCTGTGTTGATTGGCCAACTGGTTGTTATGGCCCATAGGCCCTCCCAGGGTGATTGCTATGCTCAGTGTGTCATTGCTGTGCACTTGTCCGTAAAGCACACCCAGAGCCCTAAAGCATAGTGCCACCAGCTAACTTCTGATTGGTTCCTTGCCACGAAGCAGGCATCTGACTTTCTAGTGACTAGGACAAGGTCATGGCAAGCACGTGTTACTGTCATGGCTGCCGAAATGGGGAGCTGATCCCTTCTCCTCTTCAGTGACTTGTTTGGTGAGTTGGCCCCTGAGTGCTTCATGTCCTTGGTCCTTGCAAAGGTGAACACAGGGACCCTCCTTTTCTGTCTTTTTCTTTGTGTCAGTCTGGTATCCCTGGTGCATTAGGTAGGAACATCTACTACACTTAGGTCCGACACACTTCCTGTTTTTGTTCTAGTCTGTCTTAGATTTCATTCATTCTACAGCTCCTGCCAGTAAGAGAATGGGGAACTTACCCTCCCATTGTTAGGAGCCTCAGGTAAGGGCATTAAAATCAATGGTCACCAGGTGTCTTAAGGTTAAGACAGCCGATCTGGAGGATTTTCGGGATGAGGCTGTGGTGCTGGATTTTTCCCGAAAACATGTGGGAGCCTGACCTCTGGAAGGGTGTGCTCTTTCTTGACCAAAATGCATGAGGTTGGCCCAGGAGTGGCCCCCTTTTTCTATGCTTTGATTGGAGTATTGTCTTATTACTAATCATTCTCCTTAAGTGTTTCCTGCAGTGTATTTCCACACTCCAAGTTCTCATGGCACTTCAACACCTAGAATGTGGCCCCCCTTGAGGTCTTTTGGGCCTAGCTCACAGAAATTCCTGAGGCATCAGTTTAACAGGTGCTCCTCTCACCTTGGCAAGCTTACCAGAGATGTCATTCTTCCAGGGCCAGTAGACAATGACAGGTAAGGACCTGTGAGGCAGACCAACCTAAGACAGGCATGGTCCATCATGCTGGATGCTCTCTGAGGTGGGGACAATGAGGCCAAAGCTAGAACTTCAACTCTCATTAAGCCACATTAGAAAAAAAAAGGCAGATAAGTATAGGATAAAGAAGTTAGTAGTGTTCCATTAATAATGTCTGTCTGCCTCACAGAAAGTGTCATCTGGGGTGTATGTGAGCATAATTTATATGTGTGATAGAAAAATGACAAGAGAAGAGAATCCAGTCAGGCTGCTCTGGAGTCAAAGGAGTCAAAGAAAACTCCATTAGAAACTCATCTAGGGGCTGGAGATGCCCCGGCCCGCGGGGTTCTGGTAATTCATGGGTCCCCGAAGAGGACTAAGCCTGAAAATAAATGGGCGAGAAAGAAAGAGCAAGACCAAGCAATGTTTTTGTCAAGGTCTGTTTATTGAAGTTAAGCAAGGAGTTTTTAAAGAGAAAGGAGGGAGTAAAGAAAGAGGAAGTAAAGGAGGGGAGGAATGGGTGTTAAATGCCCTCAGGCCTGGGCAGGTATCCCGGAACTTTCCTGTGGTTTATCTGGAACACTAACCTAAGGGGTGGGATGCTTGACTAAATTGGAGGTTTAGCATGGAGGTTGCCAAGCCTCTTGTAAAGGAGACTTTTATATCTGACCAGGGCTGGCTCCTGACATGGAGAGATGGCTCAGCAGTTAAGAGCACTGACTGCTCTTCCAGAGGTCCTGAGTTCAATTCCCGGCAACCACATGGTGGCTCACAATCACCTTGAATGAGATCTGGTACCCTCTGCTGGCATGCAGGCAGAAGACTGTATACATAATAAATAAAGTCTTTTTAAAAAAAAAAAAAAAGAAAAAAAGAAACTCATCTATTGGGATGGAGAGATGGCTTAGTGGTTAAGAGCACTGGCTGCTTTTCCAGAGGACCTGGATTCAATTCCTAACACCCACATGGCAGCTCACAGCTGTTTGTAATTCCAGTTCCAGGAGATTTGATACCTTCATGCATATAAAATAAAGTTAAATAAATTACTTAAAGAAAGAAAGGAAGAAAGAAATTCATCAATCCCATTTAGCCTTGCCTGCCAGGAAGCTCCAAGCCAATCATGAACTTCTCAGAGAAGCAGGGTCTTCCTTCTTGTTGGCACAGTGTTTTTTCTATTTTCTTCCTGAGCCTCCTCTGTTTGAATGGTTGCCACAGTCAAAATTCAAAGAACCTTGACTTCTGTTTAGAAAATGCATAGCAGAGAGCCTTCAGCCAGTAACTGATGGAAGCACATGCAGAGATCCAGGGCCAAGTCTGGGTCAAGCTGGGAGAGTCCAGTTGAGAGGGAGGAGGGATTGTACCAGCCAGGAGGGTCAAGATCATGATGGGAAATCCACAGCTGACCTGAGCTAATGGGAGCTCATGGACTCTGCACCAACAGCTAGGGAGCCTACATGGGACCAACAGAAGCCCTCTGCATGTGTGTGACAGTTGTATAGCTTAGTATGTTTGTGGGGTCCCTAGCAGTGGGATCATGACTCATGAGCTGGCATGCAGGCATGCCTTGCCTTGATGTGGGGTGGGGGGGGGGGAGCTTGATGTGATGTGACATGCTGTGTTGACTCCCATGGGAGGCCTGTCCCATTCTGAATGCAGAAGGCATGAATGGGGTGTGGTGGGGGTGAGGAAGAGGATAGACAGGAGGTGTGTGTATGGGAACAGGAAGAGAGGAGGGAAGGGAAACTCTGATTGTAAAATAAATGAAAAAGTAGAAAGTGTACAGTCAAAGAGCTTTCTTTGGCTCCCTGGTGTTGAGACTCTTCTCATGGTGTCACAGTCTGTGCAGGAAGGGTTGTTTGTGTTCTGTGGTGTGCCAGACATTGGTCTGGAAGCTGAAGGCAGAGTGTCTCTGTCCACTGCCTTCCAGGGCATATGGTGGGCATACAGCGCTGGCTCACTAGAACAGGGTCATCCCTAGAAGGTTCCGGCCATGAGCAGGGTTTGCCCGTGCAGAGTCAGGCATTCTCCTCCCTGCCTCCTCTGAAAGCTGGGGCTGTAAAACCAGCTAGTGCCAGGGCTCCAAGACTCCCCCAGGAGAAGAGGCCAGCCAGGGCTCCCCTCAATCTCAGGCTGCTGTGTGCTGCAGACTCAAGAGTCCCAAGGGACTCTTCTCCACGCCTTTCCCAGCACTGTGACTGCCCTGGCTGGTCTTCCTTCCTGCCCCCTGCTCATTGCCCTTTCATTTCACAAGAAGACACACTTGGCACCTGTCCAAAATATCACAGCACTGCCCACACTATAAAAGATGCAAAGCAGAAAATGGGCATGCTAAGAATGGGCAGCCCTGAGGGGAGGCAGTGAGAAGAGCACAGGTCACTGAAAGGAACTCAGTTGACAAAGGCATGGCAGCATAGCATGTCTTTGTAAGCCTCTTTATTCATCTTATGTAACTTCAATCACCCACCATCACCCTCTTCCCCCCCCCCTGCACCCATCCCTATACCCACTCATCTATCCATTTACAAAGCTGACAATCTGAGTTCCATAGAAACTGTACCTGGAGTTTTCAGTTTAGTTTCCCCTAGTGGTATGTGGTCCGATACGCCGTAGCTCCATTGGCTCCTCTGGTCACAGAGGTAGACAGTGGATTTCTGCAGCGCCTGTGTCTTCCTAGGTGGTGGTAGGCTTAGGGCCCACTGTAGGTGGAGGACACTGTGCCTTGTATTGCTAGACATGAGGCCATTTTGATTTAAAGAGATGCAAGAAACACATGTTTGCCATGTTTTTAGGGGACAATTATAAAAAAAGTCTCGTGGTATTTTGGATGTAACTGGCCCCCATAATCTCACAGGGAGTGGCACTATTAGGAGATGTGGCTTTGTTGGAGTGGGTATGCCCTTGTTGGAAGAAGTGTGGCACCGTGGGGGGTGGGCTTTGAAGTTTCCTGTGCTTAGGGTACCTCCCAGTGTGCCAGTTGACTTCCTATTGCCTACAAGACGTAGGACTCTCAGCTCGCATGCACACCGCCATGCTCCCCCTCATGATGATAATGGACTGCACCACTGAAACTGTAGGCGGGCCACCCCAGTTAAATGTTTTCATTTACAAAAGCTGCCATGGTCATGGTGTCTCTTCACAGCAATAGAAACTCTAAATATGACATGTGTGTTATTCATAAGAATGGACATTTGGAATCACCGAAGTTCCCATGTTAATATCAAGTAGCTGTGATAAAATACCTGCTAGAAACCTCTTGGTTGAGGAAGGGCTCATTTTGGTTCATCAGTCTCTCTCTCTTTCTCCCTCTTCCTCCCCCCTCCCTCTCCCCTCTGTCTCTCTGTCTCTGTCTCTCTTTGTGTGGGATGATCTTTGGGAGGCAAGAAGGCAGTTCAGTTCAACACAATTCAGTAGCCAATGTTGGTTCAAACTTCTGCAGTCTGACCCCAGGTGTTTTATTTTAGGCATATAAGTACAGCACAATTTGGTGAACATTATTCTGGTGATGATTAACTAAATCCTGCATGCACAACAGAGCATACATAAATCTCTGAGGAACAAAGTAAGCTAAACATAGATCACATGTGACCACACAAAAGTCTTTGTCAAGTCCGTAAAGATAGGTAGGTTCTATAGATTGACTGAGAAAACGAATTTACGCTGAGGGTCCAGGGAGGAGCTGGTACTGGAAAAATCTCTAGCCACACAGCACATAGGTCACCGGGCTGGGAAACTGGTCCACTCCCAGCCTTCTGGGTGGAAAAAAGATACTGCACTCCTTCACTTGAAGGAGCAACCAATCCTGTGTGCTTAACAGTCCAGGTTTCCCTTAGTGCTTATCTGTGAGGGCAGAGGCCTCTGGCTCCTACACCAGTTCTGATATTTCAGTCCATAGTCCTTGGCTTTGTCCTGTGGTGAGGCAGAGGATGGTGGTGGGAGTATGTAGCAAGGGCTGCTTGTTAGCATTCAGGCGTCTGCACTGGCCTGTCCTTGAGGTTCTAACAGGATACGCCCTCAGCTGCAGCCACTAAGAGCACCACCTGTGCACATTCACTATGTTCCCTTTTAAAAGGGCCCTGCCCACCTCCCATCCATCTTTCTCTTTCCCTCCCTCCCCCCTCTCTTCCCCTTTCCTCTCTCCTACTGCTCCTATCTCCAGGGGTGGTCTTCCCCTCCCCTTTCCCCTTTTTATGATCCCTTTTCCTAATAAAAAACCCCTCTGCCTGAACCTTGTCACATGGCATCTTTCTTTCACATGTCACTTTTCTTAAATTACAACACTGTTCACCTCATGGCAGACAGGAAACACAGGGAAGGGGTATAGTAAGGATCCAGGGCAAGACAGCCCCAAGGACAACCCCTCAGTAACCCTCTTCCTCCAACTAGGCCCCTTCTACTTTTCACTACTTCCCAGTAATGCTGGTCATGTGACTCTATGAAGGGTTAATCCAGTTCAGAGTCTGTGAGGGTATTTCCTACCAAAGCCAAAGGGTTCCTGGCAGTGCTTTGTCCATGACATGGAGCAGTAGGTGCCCGGTGTTCACACCACTAGGAATGCAATAACGGGGATAGAAAGTTCCACACTGAGCGTGGCTGTACTTTTGTTAGGGGTCCTGGGCATTTTATGAAATGGATGATGAAATCACATAGTGCTTAAAATGTCTAAAAATGATTGGGCATAGTGGTTTGTGCACATAATCCCAGCACTTGGGAGGCTGAGGCAGGAGGATTAGCTTTAGTTTGAGGCCAGCCTGCTATACAGTGAATTTCAGACCAGTTTGAACTACTTCTCGATATGTCATCTCACAAATAACAGGGGTCCTGGAGTAGCTTAGTGGTTACATGTGCTTGTCCTGTAAGCCTAAAGTCCTCTGAGAGTTCAATCCCTGGGGCCTATGTAAGGTGGAAGGAGAGAACTCACCCCACAAAGCCGTCCTCTGATATCCACATGCACTTCATGGTACACGTGCCCCCCCCCCATACACACATATCACACACATACACATTAGCTATGGATTCTATTGTTAGGTTGAAAAACCGTAACCAAAGCAACTTGAAGACAGGGTTTATTGGGCTTACACTTCCACATCATAGTCCATCACTGAAGGAAGTCAGGACAGGAACTCAAACAGGGCAGGGTCTTGAAGGCAGGAGCTGATGCAGAGGCCATGGAAGGGTGCTGCTTACTGGTTTGCTCCTCATGGCTTGCTCAGCCTGCTTTCTTATAGAATTCGGGACTAGCAGCTGGGGGTGGGAGTGGCCCAGGGGAAGCCCGCACAACCCATGGGCCAAGGGAGCTAGGGCCTGAAAAGCAGACATGAGGGGATGTGCAGACGTGAGGACAAGGGCCACCTGAATGACAGAGCTGGCTGGTGGTGGGCAGCTAACTCCTGTGGCATTTGGGACCCAGTCACCTGTGCCATTTGGGGCTGGGGATGAATGGCAGCTGGAGGATGCTGTAGAGAAGGTTCAACAGGAAACAGGAAAAACCCAGACTTGAGCATTTGGCCTGGGGAGAGGAAGGGAAAACCAGTCAAGGTGGTGGTGGCTCAGCTGCTGCCTCGTGATCTTGTGCCCTGCATTGGATGCCAGATGAAGCGTTTATCTAATTATTCTTTATCAATAAAAAACTCGGGAGCCAGATATTGGGGTAAGAACCTGACTGATCAGAGAAGTGACCAGTGACCTCCTCCCCTCTCTCCTTCCTTGATCCAAAAGGACCAAGAATCTAAGTCCCTCCTAAGTACTACTTCCTGTACTTCTCTGCAAGTCCTCAGTCCTCCAAAAATCTCTATGGCTAATTTTGGTCAGCTAGTAGTTCGCTCCACCCTCTGATTTAAAGTCAACTTTATTGGCAGTCTCGGGTGTGTCAGAGTGCAATCAAAATATCCCCCATGCCATCCTGGGCAGCAGCTGTGACAGGGCAGGGCTGGTTTGTGCCTAGTTTCTCTGGTCCAGTCTGTACTGTCCTATTGCTCATCCTGTGGTCTCATGTAAAGAATGATATACCACCAGCCTGGCCCTCAAGTTTCTCACCATTTGCTGGGCTTTTATCAGAGCAGGCAAAATTGGCTCAGCTGAACATCTTCTTTCTTTGGATAGGAGGAGTGTAGGCAAAGCTTGTGATCACAGCTTGAGATGGTCCAGGGCCCACTTCATTCAGGGGCTGGGCATTTCAGGATGACAAAGAAGACAAAGGAGAGAAAGGAGATCTAGCTGTCTGTTTCAGGAAGCTCCCTGATCCCTGCTGGGTGGATGGTTCCCAGGAAGAAGTCTTCTAGGGAAGCCCTGGCTTCTAGACTGTTAACAGCTTTGTGGGGGTAATTACCATATGAAAGCAAGCGAGGGAGCCATAACTTGGATACCCAGGGAGTAGGGATGGCAGAGAGGCTGGGAAAGCAGGGAGCGGGCAACCAACCCTCTACAGGCTGTGCCTGGCCCACATTCCTCTCATGTGGGGCACTCACCACTCCCTCCCAGGTGCCTTCCTGTTGCCACTTGCCACTCTAAGGCCTCAGGGGCACCCTTGGGGTGGCAGGACAGTTGGGACTGAGAGGTAGATTCCAGGTCCTAGGGCTGTACCTGGAACTAGGCTCAGTTCTTCTGTTGTTGCCAGCAAGGAAGTCTTAAGACCAGGCACATCAATCTGCCTTTCTCATCTGCACACACTCTTCCCTGGGTATTTATTCTCTGGGCTTCCTAATGTCCCTTGCCCACTGTGGGCTTAGGTTTCTGCCTGGCTCTGTGAGGCAGTCACACTGGCTTTCTAGGCAGAGCCTTCACTGCAGGTCCCTTACAGAAAGGTACAACTGGCTACCCTTGCCATAGGCAGCCCCTTAGGATGGGGGACCTTCCGACAGCGATGGTCACTTTCACACATCAGGTTTGTGCTGTGGTGGAGGTCCTCTGCACAACGGCTTCCTTGAGGGGTCAGCACACACACAGAATGACCACCCAGGAATCTTGGGGCCCTGGGCTTTGTGACTGTTTTTCTGTCCCATGTTGTGCAACCCTCCCCCCTCCCAGCCCCACCCCAACCTTGATTCCCAGACAATAGTCTGTCTCAAGCACAGAACCAGCTACAGAGGAGGTGAGGAGCTCCATGGGAACTGCTGTTCTGCAGGCTAAGCATGTCCTGCCGGCT